TATATCTGCTCCTTTTTCAAACTACAGTCCCTAACCCAAAGTTTTTCAAACCAGGAAGAGATTCTTAGAACAGTCTATGACAACAGCTCACTCAGCTGGTGCCTTTTTCTAATTTCTATAGCAGGCTATCTGAGGAGGAGAAAACCTCACACTACACGAGATTTAATGAGTGCTGAGTTGTTGTGGCATTCACAGTGCTGCCAAAAAACTCAGCAATGTTCAGTAAGCATGTGAAGTGTCGGCAATGAAAACCGTTGTCAAACAGCATTTGGGATCAATTACCCAGACAGAGTGTAATGTTTATATGATCTTTCTCAAAGCAGACCCACTCAAGGACTGGCACTGGCAAACTTTAAAACATCCTACCTCCTCTTAACCAGTCCTCCCATCTGTCACAGTCTTGTTTTCCTCCTTTGAAGTGTTGCCCTTATCACTGTGATGTTGTTAATTTCACATTTAGCAAAGTTTGGTTACCCTGTCCCGAAATGAAAACGTAAGGTAAGCTACGCACAAATTTGTTTCCTGCAAAGTTATATTTCATCCCACAGCAATCAAAACAAAAGCCAACAGTGTGTTATCTATTACAGTATAAAACTAAATTAAAATATTCCTTTGACCAGGAAGTATCCAGGATGATGCCTCATTTGTTGTTTTTAAATCATACTGATATTGGCCAAGTCAACTAAAAAGAGGCTGACAAACCAAAGACACAGTATGATGAACTCATGCATTGGATGCAATTAAAAGCACAGGATAATTTTAGAATTTTTAAGTAGTTACCCGTTTGTAACAAAAAGAAAAAAATTGGCAGCGTTTTAGCATAGCTATTAAGGGTACACTCAGATGAATTATCTCATTAACAGGAACATCCTTATGGGAGAAAAGAAAAGAATAGCTTTTAAGGGGTGACCTATTTGTGGAAAACAAAAAGTCAAAGAACAAAACTCAAGGGCCTTCATGCTTAATCAATATTTGCTACTATACAAGCCTCAAGTCCTAGGGGGAATATTCTACAAATAAAGCAGGCCCCAAAGTTAGAAATGATAAAACTTTCTTTTTCTTGTGAGATTGATGTGGTAAGGGTGCACATTCTGTTTGGAAGAAGTCTAGAAACGGAGAAGACTACGATTGATTCAAGTATTTAAAATCCTCAAAGGCACAGGCCCTGTTAACCCACTGGACTTCTTTAGTATCAGCAGTGAAAGACGAACTAGAGGTCATGAGTGAAACCTGGTGAGACTGCTTTTAAATCTGAGAACAGTAACGTTTCTTTACACATTTGGCTGTGAGGGTAGCCTGGGAACAGGCTACCCAGCCATGTTGCTGAAGCTAAAAATCGTTCTTTTTTTGGGAAAAGGCTGGATGAGACTCTCAGATCAGTCATCTACAAACTACAAAGTATGTTGAATGCTCTTCTCTCATTCTTTGTGACCTGTCTAATGTTTTGAGACCTGTATCGTTGTACTGGTAAAACACCAAAAGCTACAGTACATAGATGCAGTATGTGTACTTGCATTTACAAGGCACAGCATCAGCCTCCACATTCTTTGCAAAAATTCTTTATGTAAACATTGTAATTCTTTACATATTCCCATCCAAAAACTCCTCTTGCTGGCATACAAATACTTGATGTGGGCAGCACTTCTGAAGCACCAAGTAAGAAAAGATTTGATGTGGTTCAGACACAAGCTAATGTTTCTTATGTTTCAGGGGCAGATCCTTCAATTATTCCAAAGCAGTTTAATCCAGCCTTATCCTACTAAGAGAATTAATGATATCTGTGGTCTGTGTTTAGGAGCTCTGATTGTACACCTGCCAGGAGCACAGGTCAGCCTTGTACACTTCAAGTAATGACAACAGTAAACATTGCATCTATACTGTATGATCTAAACAATATCTGGTACTGATGATAGTTTTTTTTTTCATTTCAAATGATTTAGCTTCATTTTGAACTTCAAATAAAGAATGATTTTGTCTTTACATTTCTTGGACAAGGTCCCAAATAATAGTCATAGCATAAGTGCATTTGTGTGCTTTACCATCTGTTTGACAGTAAACAAAAAGATCTCTGTTACCTTCCTCTCAGAACAAGTAAATCAGTAATAGTGTCAAAAAAGAGGTGAAGGGAGGGGGGTTAATTACTTCAACATGGCTTTGAGAATTGTAAGAGTGTGTGCTTTCTTTTGGAATCAGCAGGATATTGGTTTCGTCTTCCTGCCTAAGGTATGATAACGAGGCAAAAATGCAAGTTATGTTTCTGAATTGTGCTGTGATATTAAGTTAGATGCTTATTAATACTTTGAATCAACAGTTCTGCCACCACTCTCATGCCTCAGAATGACAAAAGGGTGGGTGGATCTGTAAGTTTGAGTTTTTCTTTTTTTCCCACATGATGTCAGAGGAGCACAATTAGGAAGAACACTGTTGGGACTAGTTTGGTAAAATGCTCCAAGCAGCCATCTGTTATCTTGAAACTGCGCAGGCCACTTTTTGAAGGAAAATGTGTTTGGATTTTTACAAGAACGCCTGCCTCGTTAGTCAGATTTTATTGTGGGCTGGTTTCGTTTGTCTGTTTATGCTGTTGTTTTGTTCATTTCAAGAACTGCCAAAGTATGCTAACTCTGTTGCTTGGACGTAAGAGACTTGATTTTGGTAGAAAAATAAATAGTTTCTATTTTTGGAAAATATGTGTTTTTTTTTCCACATAATTCATTTAATTGCTAATAAAACTAATGTGATGACCTTGGCTGGGGATCCAGAATGTGTGATTTTTTTCTTTGGCTACTTTGGCTACAAAACAAAAGAATTTGGGGATTTTATTTGTGTGACCTTCTAGGAGAGAAAGAGACAAAGTTTGATCTTGGTAGAGATTCTGAGGAGAGTTCATAGGGTAGGCTTGCTTGAGCATGAGCAACAGGTGATTGGTAGTATACGAATTAATTGGTCTGAGTGTAAGTGGATCCTCGCAATTGTTTGGTTTGTTGTGAACCTTTATTATGCTGTTTTCAGTGCATCTGAGGTGCTACCATGGTATTAGCACATATTTAGGTTACTCCACCTCTCCTTTCATTGTGTGTGCAGCAGTTTAATTGTTTTTAACTACACTTTCCTTGGGCCCAACGTCTGAATACTAAGAAAATCTTTATAATGGATATTTTTTCGATTTCTAAAATTGTTTTTGGTACTTTAACATGATGTTCCAGAGCTTTAAATACAGCTGGGTACAAACCAAGGCGAACAACAAACAAATAGCACAGTCTTTATGAACAGATTTGGTCCTTCTTGTCTTTGTAGGATGTTAGCAATAACCAATAACATATTAGGCTTTTTGAAGGCATTTTGCCGACATCCCAGAGCACTTAACTATATAGAACTGCTATGTCAAATGGTAAACTATTACTTTTACTTATTTAAACCCTTAGCATTAACAGATATTATAAATGACAATGGGATAACATGGAAAATGACACACAGAGAGGGCTCTTTGTAATATTTTGTCCTGGCAATATGCTCAGTTTATGTGTGAAACATTTGCTTGAGAGGTGGATTTCCTACAGTGACAAAAGAACACCCTCAGATGCAGCCTTTAACACCCTCTCTAAGGCATTGATCCCTTTAGACACTTTTCCTTGGCCTCGACTGAACTTGATCAGCAAAGGTCATTACATCAATGTTTAACATTAGTCCATTTGCAACTAATCCTTAATCCTCAATTAAGATCTTTCTTATAGCATTGGTGTGAGGAGCAATGGAAGAGCCTTTCAGAGTAAAAGAGATTGCACACCTTTGTTTCAGTGCTTCTTTCTTATGAAAGTATGAAAACTAATCCCCAGAAGAATGCACTTGAAACTTTTATCTTTACAGCAAATCTGCAGGATGTTCTCAACCATGCAAACTTCTATAATCGCAGCAGGAGTTTTCTTTTATGAATGAAACACTATAACAGGCAAAGTGACAGAGGTGGGAGGGACCTGGACAGCTCCAAGGGAGACAAGGGAATTGCTCCTGAAAGAAGAGAAGCCTTTGGGATGTTTGCACACCTTGGCCTCGGCATTTCAGACATTGCCCTGTTTTAATTCCCATACTCTTTTCCCTTCATAGTGTAAATCACACCCAGTCAATCACTTGATGCCACTGAGAAATACTTTAGAAGAAACAATGGATTTTTTCTGTTTCTAAGATGCTAATCTAGTTCTAGCTCAAATGTGTTTATTGAGTTAAAACATGCTCTAGATTACAGCAGGTGGCTTTCAGCTTTTTCAACAAAGTTGGGTGAAGTCTCAATGTGACTAACTTGACACTAACTACCCCGGCATGACTACAGAAAAATGTTTTGCATCTCAGTATCTGAATCAAAGTTATTCATAGATATGTTGGGTGTAATATGTTCTGTTAGTTCAACTATATTTGCTAATGATACTTTTTAACACTTTTTAAGTAAGTGCAAGTTAAGAAGACAATGCAGATTCATTAATTTAAGACATGGCTGCAGCTGTATCTATCTAACATGGAACACCCTCCATGTTAGGGTAGTTAGGAGCATGTAGGGCCTATGAATTTTGTGTATACGTATTAATGAAGTCATATCTCTCATCATGTTAGAGCAGTACTGGGGGCTGCAATGTTTTATGACAACTCATACTGTAATGTACAAATAAGATTTAAGTTATTAAACAGTCATTTGTTCCAGGATGTTTCCTGAAGGACGAGGTCAATCTTTAGCTGTTTAGAAAGAAACAAAGCCACATCGCACTAAACTTGTCATTGTTCACAATATCTGTGCATGGTATTGGGATGATGGCAGGAAAGAATAGTTTTTCCCCAAAGGTTCCAAAGTCGCCAGTTTGAATATCAGTTCTCATTTTATTTTGTAAAGTTTTGTCATTTGCTCTATAACACTGATTTATTGAAGTGTCAGGCAACTGCAAAATGCTGTGGTATTCAAATTCTTTGGAAATGTTGCAAAAAGTTGTCACCTAATTTTCTTTTTGTTTCTCCAGTGTACGGCTGGTTACAGACAATACAGTGAATTAATCCTTTAGACATGACCATAAAGACTGTCAGAACAACAGCTGATAACCTAGGGTCTCAGAACTCAAAACTGAAGAATTTGCAGGTAGTAGACCTTTGTTTTTTCTTTGTCTAATGCATTAGAAAATGTGTGTAACACAGCAAAAACATATACAGATATATGCAAAAAAAGATAAATTAGAAGCCTGTTAAGTCAGTTCTGCTTGCTCATGTTGAGAAATAATAGAGCTAATCCATATTAATTAATGTATACACTCTATTAAACATATTTACTAGATGGTAATAATAATAATAATAATAATAATAATAATAATTGCTTTCACTTGTATAGCACTTTTCTGGACACTCCACTCAAAGAGCTTTACAGATAATCCCCTTCACCAATGCCGATGTGCAGCCCCACCTGGATGATGCGACGGCAGCCATAGTGCGCCAGAATGCTCACCACACACCAGTTATCAGTGGGGAGGAGAACAGAGTAATGAAGCCAGTTCAGAGATGGGGATTATTAGGAGGCCCTGATTGGTAAGGGCCAATGAGAAATTTGACCAGGATACACCCCTACTCTTTTCAAGAAACACCCTGGGATTTTTAATGACCACGGAGAGTCAGGAGCTCGGATTTACATCTCATCTGAAGGAGGGTGCCTGTTTGCAGCATATTGTTCCCATCACTATACTGGGGCATTAGGACCCACATGGACCATAGGGTGAGCACCCCCTGCTGTCCCCACTAACACCTCTTCCAGCGGCAAACTTAGCTTTTCCCAGGAGGTCTCCCATCCAGGTACTGACCAGGCTCACACCTGCTGAGCTTCAGTGGGTTGCCAGTTGTGAGTTGCAGAGTGATATGTCTGCTGGCATGTATGATGTTGATTCTTCTGGAGCCGAAATGCCTATATTCCTTTCTGTCCTGTTATAATAAACTCAGTTACTGTATAAATCTAATTTCCCTCATTTTTATTTTTGTCAGCATTGTTGTGAATGTAGTACACCTGTTCTTACCCTTTACATCACAGTATTACAAGGGTAATACTGTCTGAGAGAGTGAGTTTCAGAATTGAGTTTGATCTCATTGCCCCATAATGGAGTTACTTGCTGTTGAAGCTATTATAACAGAAAGATAAGACTTTCTCTTTTCACTTTTTTTTTCAAATTGGGCCTTGGTTTTACTTTACAAAAATAGTAAGACATGGTTTTAATTACAAGAATCTATAAAATCTGTAGGAAAACAAAAAAATGTATTCAAGCATAAAAAGTGCACACTTACATGTAAAGCTGTAAAGTGATGCAAAGTGTATGAGTCTGTAGAAGAATGCTGCCTGCATATTTACGGTATGCAACTATAGACATTGAACTGTAAATGAAAAACATACAGAATGCCTGCATTATGAGTCACAGGCTTCATTGTAATTGCTTCCACATACAGGACGTTTTCTGTCCTCTTGAAGGCCTATCTGTTCTGACATCCCCAAGAATATAGCCATGTGTTAGCAAATGCTTTGTTTTACTTTTAATTTGCCATTGTCTTCTGGTTCAGTGCTCCTTTCTGTAAAACAAAGTCCTGCTGGCCTCTCTTGGTCTCATCATAAAATTCATAAGCAAGGACAACACATCCATCCATTTTCTAAATAAAATACAGGTTCAGCTCATTCAGTATTCAAGAAAAGATGGGGAAAGGAAACATATCTCTTAAATTCTTTATCATTAAACTGACTTCATTTCAAACTGTCTGTCACCCAAGACAGTTTCAATTTTTTATATGTTTATGGAGAGCTTCTAAAGAATCAAAACATAATCACTGCTGGATTTACTAAAAGGTGTTAGAAGATGTCAACCTGTTCCTTTGACTTTAAACATAAAACCCAGCTTTGATGTGTCCTGACTTGATTCTACACATGTGTAGCTGCTGATCCCTCAAGTACACCTTGAAGAGCACTGAAATATGTTTTCCCAAACTGAGAGAAATCGAGAAGTACTGACTTAGTGAGAGATGGAGATCATGCAGACATTCTGTATGAACAGCTTTTAAATTCTAGCTGTGTAAGGGGCTAACGGCTATCTCCTGCTGGAAAAGTGTTTCTTTAGAATGCAGATTGTGCACTGAGGTACAAGTGCCGGCTGAAATCCAGGATATATTCTGAGCTGACTGCTGCTGGGATTCCCCAATAACAACAAGATGACTTTTGTGAATTTCTGTAGTGTTTTCCTTCTGCAGGATCTTAAAATGATTATATAAGAGGGGAATCACTTTATTCACCACAGAAGTGAAGAACCAACATGTGGGAGGTGCGGCCGTCATTATGGCCCAATAACCTCACTACATAGCAGATCCGGTGGAGAAGTGAGAAACGGCTTCATCAATTGAATGGAGGGAGAGCATTACTGTAGGTAGACCAGAATAAGCAAGCCCAGGGTGGAGTTTAGTCAAGACACTAGGTTAAGACTACTGCTCTTTTAACTCCTTAACCACAGATACATCCCAGTGCCTTAGGAGCTCTAATGAGCAAGCTTTCAGGAGCTTGGTTTATTGTGTTATTCCCCTACAGCACATTGGTCACCATACTGGGGCACTACTGATCAGGGTGGAAGATGGTGAAGCTATGGCCTATTATTGCCACTCAATAGGTGGTGCAGAACAGGCTGCTCATCACCACTGATCAAGAAGTGTGGGCGTGATGTGGCCTGGGCATCCTGGGTATCCTCGTAGTGTTGTGCAGCAGCAGTCCCTCTGACTTGCCAGGTGCCTATATGGTCACAATGTGTACACTGTTGGTATTGAGAGCTGCATCTTTTCCACAACTGATGCTAACGTTGCTGCAGGCATCCACTATGAGACCTGTAGAGTCAATCTGAAGTAGGTGGCCCAGACGATGAAAGGAGTTCACTGTCCTTATCCCTCGTGGCGGTACGGGGATTGTATCGGTAGAGTCAATTTGTCTTGAAATAAAATAATTGGTAATTCATTAATTTTTTCAAAAAGCAATTAGATCATTGAAGCAGGAATTGTGCAATTAAAATAGCACTGGGACATTATTATATTTTATTGTTTTTTAAATGTAACATGAATGCTGATAAAATGTTGTATGAATGTGGGGGAAATATTGAACTGAAAAGTGACAGTAGTGCCAGGACTCAAGGCACATTTCCAGCGTTATTTATCCGAGACAGATAAGATTCTTTATCATATTGTCAGGTTGGGCATACTTATCCACTTTGCATCCAGCTCCACCTTCATCACACAATGCATCTTTTTTGTGTCTTGCAAGAGTGCTCCATTTTGCATTGTGTGCTGTATTCCGACTCAGACAAGGTGTTGGCTGTGTTAGCGGATGGCACAGCACAGGACAAAGCCCCATCCTCAGTCATCCCACTTCCTGTGCAGATCGAGGTGAAAATAATAGCATAAACAAGCAGACACTTCATTATAATATCAGTTTACATATCCGGGATGCAAAAAATAGGGGCCATTTCATCAAGCTAATTGCCTGTGAGTAAGAGGGAGCAAATTTTCACCATTAGTCTATTATGGAGCTTTTTTCTTAATCACAAATAGAGCCTGTCTATCCCAGGGGGACTTGCTTTCTAATTTACAATTGAACCACAGAACAAAGCTATCAATCTTTCACAGGACTTTGTTTTTTACAGTGTAATTGCAGAGACATTACAACAAACAACAGGGAGAGAGAGAGAGAAAATGTTGCCCTGACAGATCAGTGGAAGGTGTGGTATCGTGAACATTTTAAGAACTCACAAAGTATAGGACTTGTTTTAGAAAGATATTATCAACTGATGGGTACAGTAAGGTAATATTTCTTTGCCATCACTTTGAAGCAAAGAGTTTAATCATGTCTGTACCTAAACCCACCTTGTTATGGACTACTGGACAGACGGACTTCTCCATCATGAGCTTGAAATCTCGTATTTATAAGCTGTGACCAAAAGCTTTTTGGAATTGGAACTTTTTAAAGGAATTTATAATGACAGATTTAACTTATAATTTAACTTACTTAAAACGTACTTAAAAAAGGGAAACACACAAACATGTAAAAACACCAGGAACATCTGCAGATAATCAATATGGAGAAACAAATTGCTCCAATCCACATTTTGGAATTTCATTACAAAATTGACTAATGTTCCATAACAACATTGAAAGCATTACTCTAGATTTCTAGATTTGGACTCTTTAAATGTTGACCAAACGTTTTCAGAGCCTTTTGTGTTGTAGAGGGAAAACTCTTAGAAAATGGCCCCATTCTTGTCTTGTGAGTTTGTCTGCGAAGGTCACTACTGCTGTGATATTGATATAAAATCTTGAACTTCAAAAAAGCCTTTTCTAGTCAAGTCAGGGGAGCAGACTGACCCTTTTCCTCTGCTTCTCTGTTTGATACCAAAGTGTGCATGAGGGCGAATTGGTGGAATCAGCTGCATCTCTCTTAGCGTTAACTATGATCCCCCCTCATCATCCCACTAGCCTTTTCCTCCTTGATGCCTCTAATGATGACTTTTGTCATTAACGAGTTAATAAAAAAACTCTCAAAGTCATCTGTGAAGATAAGGGGAAGAAAGAAATGCATTGTGCACATAATGACAGGCTCCTTGCCTGCCCCCGAGATGTCACGGGTCAGCCATGTTAAGAATGTGTGCACCCAATCATCTTCTGATCTTTATCTGCAGCCCTGCAGCTATTTAAGACACGGGCCCAATCAGGGCTCTGATGAATGAACAATGAGCTCTTGGATTGTTCTGCCACATGACTGAGCCATGGGCTTCTATACTAACACATGATGACATTAACAATCAATATACCAATTACTGAACAAGTTATTGGACTAGGTGCACAAACACACAAGTCAAGAAAGCTTTTTTGTGTAGCTGGCCAGTGCATCATGTATATGCGATGCACAAATGCTGAGCTTTAAGTTACAACTCGAAAGGCAGAAGGTAAAGTAATTCTTGTCATACAAACTGCATGCCCGCTGTACAAACTGCCCCAGGGTTGAGCCTACTACAGAGTTGAGTCTTTCAGATTTCTGCTGAGATGTGAAAACACCATGCCAAGCCTGTGAAATCACAAGAATTACTTAGTTGTAGTTTATTTTCTTAGCCTATTGCGTTTTCTGAACCAAGATAGAAAATTATTCTATCTATCCTTTGCAGCCTACGCATGCTGACGCAGCTACCCACCTGAACTAGAAAATTATTTGCTTTGCTTATGTAATATTAAAAGTTGAAATGTAAAAGGGCTAGGGCAGCGCAGTGGTGCAATGGTTTGCATCGCTGCCTCACAGCGCTGGGGCTCTGGGTTCAGTTCCTGGGAAGATATGTGCATTGAGTTAGTATGTTCTGCCCTGGGTTTCCTCTGGATGATCCTGCTTCCTCCTTCAGTCCAAAGACAGGCTGGTATGTTTATTGGCTTCTGTAACAAAATGGTCCTGGCATGTGTGAGTGTGCC